CAATAATTTAGCACCAGCCACCCCTTTAGATGTATTGACAAAAAATTTCCACAATGTATTTTTTTCAGATTTTAAACGAGTAAGTATATTATTTGCTACATTCCATTTATCTTGAATTTCTGTCAATTCAATGACTAATAGATTATAAACTAATTTATGTGCTCTTTCTTGAGTCGGATCATAATTCATTTTAGCATCTGTTAATCGTTTAGTCGTCTCTCTAATAGCTTTGCTCAACAACATGGTTAGAATAACACGTAACATTTTTTAGTTGGTCAGTAATATACAGGAGTAAATAGTATAGTAATTCGGATTCTTTTTCTAATTGTGTAGATTTTCCCAAACATTTTATCATGAATCTTTTAATGTGTTCAATTGCATTAACTTTAATATCAGTCAAAAATTTTGAATTTATATAATCTAATTGAAGATTCCAGCGACGGCCGGCAGTATCCTGTTGATAGCACCATAGTACCGACTGTTGTACTTGCGCTAATGGATGGTGCCTTTCTGCTTCGTCTAAAATGCCTTGAAACAATTGATCGAATGTTTCACTTTGATTTTCTTCAGATAGTTGTTGTCCATTCGTTTCTTGATTTCTGAACATTTGTTTTATTGTATTACGAAGGCGTCTTTGATAAGTGTTGACAATAACATCAAAAAGATAGAGAGAATGAACTCTTTCACCGATAACGACATTTTTCCAATGATCAATTTGCATGTTTTTGAATGATTTCCACTCTGCTAATCGATCTATTCTCCATTTTTGCCATTTATTATTTTCTAACGAAACGATTACACCTTGATCGATCTTTTTCAATTGTTCATAAACGAGTGTATTCAGTTCTATTGAATATTTTTCAATTTTATTGTGTACATCACTTTCTCTCCGTTTAGATTGTTCATTTGTCATTGACGTAAGTGGACATTTTGGGGTCTGCGCATCCGCATCGGTCACAATTTTTCGTTCAATTTCACTATATGCATTATTGTACAATGATCGTAGTTGGTGTCTTGCATTAGATAACATTTCGTCTAATTGTTCATGTGCATTTCTTTCTATAGCTGAAGCAAAAGTGAATGTAAAATCAGCCGATAATATACATTGCCATACACAATCTAGGAACTCCATAAATTTAGATAATGTTCGTGCTTCCCATTTTCTCATTGTGCCGTTTTCAGATGACGTAACACGTTTATGAATATATTCTCTCAACTCCACAACAGACGTGCTATATGCTGTGTTTGGAGTATCACCTGGCGGTATACTGTCTTTTTTTATGTTACCGAAAAATTGAATATCGCCATCATTTGATTTATCAGCATGTATACGAAAATCTCGAAATAAAGACATGTGCGTATTTGAGCTTGATTTATTGTCACATTGTTGATCATTCTTCTTCTGGATTTGATCCAACTTTGTTTCGTGATCAGTGAAGAAGGTCTAAACAACTGGTATTAGATTTGAAATCTGATTAATATCCACTCGACAGTACACGCAAAGCATCATTGATGCTAGGTGTCCGCCAGACTTTTCGGCTAATTGTGATTGTTCATATGCTAACGTTACTATTGATAATACGTCTTTTAATGCTCCATCTTGTTCACCGTTTACAAGAATAATTGTAGCATCGGCTGGTAAAACAGCAAATGTAGCCATTCGATTATCTTTCCACTCTGAATATTCTACATCTTTACACTCTGGTGCTCGAAGTCCTTCAGTATCCAGAAGTAGAACATAATCATATTCGTCTCTTTCTTCTGATTTCAATAACTGAATATTTATTCCTTTAGTGCATTGACCTGTACTTGCTCGTAATCGTACGCCTAACATTGTGTTTAATAAGGTTGATTTACCGGAACTTTGAACACCAATTATGCTCAAAACAAATATTCGAATAGACTTTTTCTTTGTCAGATATTTCAATTTTTCGTTTAACTGTATCAAAACTTGTCTAATCCATTTACTGCACATCATACCAGCATCACCATCCAACAGCTCAAGTGCAAATCCGTCCATCAAATACTGAGCTGCCAAACCCGGATACGAAGCGTATCGATTGGAATCTGCTATATATAGATGGCAACATTCACGCCAGATATGTTCTACACCAACAGTGGTAGCTGCATATTTAGCTTTAGCTTGAAAATAATCATCTTCGATAGCTTTATATTTGCTTTTACTTCAACGCGCAAACGCGTCGTCTCTATGCATACGAGCATCTTCAATTGCCGCAGCAGCATATGCCTCAATCCCATAAATGAATTCTGCTATTAATTCTTAGAAATTCTTGCTATAATACAGTGCTGTTGATCTAATATCAGAATTTTCATATGATAAAATGTTTATTAATAAATGAATTAGATCTATTTTTTCAATGTCAGTTGCTAAGTGTAATCGTTTTTGTTGTTCGTCATAAATTTTCCTTTCAAATGCTCTTTGTTGTGATGGATTATTTTTTGTACGATTCAATGCAATTCGTTCTATGGCCTCAGTATAAAAACTTTTTTGTAATAATAATTTATGACTACGTGAATTACTATAATTCTGACGCTGTATGATATGATTAATTTTGCATGTACATTAAAATAAACAAATTCTATAGATCAAAGTAAACTAAATAACACAAACAGAAGGAAATATTTGCATTCAAAGTAAGGATGTGCGGTAACCGGTAATTTACCGTCGGTAACGGTAAGATGAATTTACCGTCGGTAACGGTAAGATGAATTTACCGAAAAATGAGATTACCGCGGTAACGGTGCTAATTTTTTTACCGAAGGTCCGGTAAATACTTTTTACCGAATTTTTCTCCGGTAAAGTTTTTTTTACCGAACTAATGTCTGTTATTTTGTTTTTATTTCTTTATTCCCTTCTAATTCTGATCATGCGGTGATATAAATTCATGCATTCTGATAGCTGCGATTATATAAGTTAAGTTATCGATATTGTACTATCATACGTTTAGTCACTTTTATTTTGCTAGTCAGATTGACTACGGACAAAATAAAATGGAAAAGAAAAGAAAAGAAAAGAGGTTTTTTTCTTGACATTCTCTGTCTGTAACAATCATTTTTCTTTCTAATACTCGTCCAGTTTTGCTCTATATTCCTTTATGAAGCAAACAACATTTATTGAAAGGAGACAACGGTAAAAGAAATTACCAGAAAAATGAACGATAATAGTTTTTTACCGAGACAAAAACTCGGTAGCAGTAAAAGACTTTTTACCGCACGAAATTTACCGTGGTAACGGTAAACGGATGTACCGGTTACCGCACATCCCTAACTGAAAGGGATAAAAGTTAAAGATTATATTCAAAGAAACCTTCCTCATTTAAAAACTACAAACAGGCGTCATTCCGTCGCGACGTAACCGTATTTTACTCTTTTTGTACGATCTAAACATCTGTTCACACAATAAAATACAGATTTTGAAAACTCAAATTTTCGCCTACAACTTTTCTATGAAGTGGTTTTCCAAACGATGTCTCAGTTCAAAGCTTTAAAGGGCTGTCTTAGACCATAGAAAAAAATTCTGTTTTGTGTCATTCTGTTACATCATCTATAATTCACTATAACTTTTGTTCTACTAAACGAAATAAGCTCAAATTGTTTTTCTGTAGCATACTACCCTAAGACACTTCATCTCCATCTGTACGGTGGTTTCTGAGATAACGCACTTTAAAGCTGCTAAAACGTTATCCGTCACGTTTGGTCAAGCCGATTATGTCTTTATTACTTACTGATGACAAGTTTTAAACTATGTTGATCAGATGGATACTATTGATTCACTCGATTTTTCTACTATGAAATATGTCGTTCATTTACTGGAAGTATCTGTTTTTATGTTATTCTACTAACACAACTCTGGATAATGTGTGTATCTAGTGATAATCAAAACATCTGTAGAAAATGAATATATTTCAACTGTAAATAGAAAAGAATAGAAGAATTCCTTTTACATTTGTTCTCGGGTGTGTAGGAACCATGTTTTTTCACGTTCTTTTGTTCTGCATCTAGTCGGTTTTTTTCCGTTGAAAAGTGAACATAACGGATGTCTCATAATAAATGAGCCTCTTCATATTTTGACTGTAACTTTTTATATTCTCAACTTTTAGACTTGATTATTTTCCCAAAAGATTCGCTGTCAAATTCTCTACAAGATGTGTATCAAAATATTTTTCTGTAGTAAGTTAAGAAAAAGAATTAAACAAAGAAAATACAACATGTGTGAACGGACCAACTTTGAAAGCCGAAAAACAATTTTTTAGGCTGTTTTATGAGAAAAATAAAATGATACAAGCATTTTGTAGCACTTAAAAAGCTCTGTCGACTAGTGATAAGAGGAAAAATTTCAAGTCAGATATATCTAGGCATGCACCAGTTCCAATCTTAGGCTTGGAGGATTGGTACCAAGCCTAACTGGAGATTGTTGGGATTGTTACCAAGCCTAACTGGTACCAATCCCGGCTTGGCACCAATCCTGATTGTACCAATCCTCCAAGTCTAAGATTGGAACTGGTGCATGCCTAATCATAATGATTAACTTTGTGCACAGAGCAGGTGGTTTTTGTTTTGTTTAATCATTTTATTAAGATATATTCTAGGTTGATTTGTGTGTATTTTCGATTTA